TTTTCACTTGAATCATCCCAATCAGAAGAGACTTTAGGAAAGGATTGTAATATTGGTTCGGTGAAAGTCTCGAAAGGCTCAGAAATTCTCAAATGGGATTTAGGAGTTGGTGATTATCATGACATCATTACCATATCATCTAATCTTTTTGAAGGCACTCGACTTTTGAAATCCAACTTGTCTCAAAAGTCCATTGGCTAATCATTTCAATGCAAGAGCTTTGCTCTTTTCTGTAATGACTTTCGCATTTGTACTGATTTTCTCTTCATGCAAGCATTTTCCTTTTGACACTTTTTCTTATGAAAGAATTCTTCTCTTGATGCTACTTTTTTTGCTTTTTTTTTTAATGGGCATTGACCTTGCTTTTACCAGGCACACTGCTTTTTCATGCCCCCTAGTTTTCATTTGACTTTTGCTCATTTGAATCTTTTGAGCTCCTAGGACTTTTGAGATTTTTTACTTCTTGTGACATAAGCACTAATCGCCATGGTAAATCATGTGCCTTTCCCCAAGGTGGGGAAATAATCGCCATTCGGGCTTTTGGAATGGAAATTGAGGCTCAACTTGGCTAAACAAAGGGTATGGGTATTTGGGTAGAGAAAGAAATGCTTTTCTTCATTGTGGGATGTTTCCAGCTTTTATAAGGACTCACATGAAGTTACCACAAAAAGATTAATGCAAGTAAGAGTAAAGAAATCTTTCTCATCTTTTTCTCCAAAGAATGTTAACCAAAACCTCCAAATTTGCCCCATTGTAGGGTGGTTTTTGACAGGGGTATTTTGTAGAAATTCTCCACATGTAAAAGCTCAAATGGGTTAACTATGGTCACATGTAGTGTATAGGATAGAAGAAGAAAATGCCTCCTTTCATTTCGATCCATGTACCACCTGCGAATGAATCTCTTGCCCTTAAACAGCACGAGTTTCTCTTTTTCACTCCACTCGTAAAGTGTTCATAGGACGTGTTTAGGAATGGCTTGCCTTTCTTCATCCTAAGTGTTTCTCGCTTGGCATGATTAACATCTCCTCTCATTTTGTTAAGATCATTTGAGTAAATTAATCTCCATGGGGAATTTTGATTCAAAATGAATGATTCACCAAGCACAAAGACAATTTTTGTGAAGAGCTTGTTTTCTCAGTTTCCACTTTAGTGCTTGTTTTTTCTCAAAAACATCAAAGACTTTTTCTTTGTGATGAAAATTATCCATTTGATTTCCATTTGAATTTTGGAAGAAGGGTACTTACCTGCGGCATGGCGACTTGGTAACCCTGTAAAGAATAAAAAAGAATGTGTTAGTTAAAGACCCTTTAAGGATTGAAAAATTGGGAACGATACAACATTACCCCTCGTTTGCATTTGTCCTTCAAGTCTTTGATGCTTCCTATCAAAGGAAAAGAGAATCATGTCAAAAATTGTATTAAAATGGACAATTGGCGGGTGTTTGACAACTCCCTTCATTTGAATTTGCTTCCTTATATGTTTGGGAACTCCCTTCATCTGCTTTCTTTCGCCTTGACTTTTCGGCATTGTTTCGCTATTTGAGGGCATTGTCCCTTGAATGCTTTGCTCCATACATTCCCCTATCTGCAAGATGAGAGATGGCCCAAGTCATTTCCATTATAGGTTAAGCTAATTTAGGAACGATACAACTCCTTTTATGCCGATGTGGATGATTTCGCCTCGTCGTATTTTCTGAGTCGGGAGTTTTGTCGTTGTGGTCCAACACATTTCTTGATTTCATGTCGAGCCAATAGACTCCATTTCATCATGCTTCCTCGTCGGTGGTTGCTGCCCCTCAGGTGACTTGACCCATTCATCATCTGCGGAAGGGAAATGAAATATGTTATCTCCATTCTCAATTGACCTCAATTTGGGAACGATTCATCCTTTTGTGCTAAATTGGATGTCTTGTTATGATTTGTCGATGAGAGATGTTCCGCATATGATGCCCTGTCATGCTTGCTAGGTGGAGAAGAGAGAGATTTGTCCCAGTAATTGGGTGCTCCACATTGAGTCAAATGACTTAGCCATATGCAATTTCATCCTATTTGGTCAGCAGGTCTTCAATCGCTTTCCAAACTCCTTTTGTGCTGAAGTGAATGCTTTGATCATGTTCTCTTGGTGAGAGGTGCTGCCCTTATGCCGAATCAAGTTTCCTCGACACATGTTACTTCTGCCATGCTTGCCTACGGGCTCTCGTTTGGAGTCTATCTTTTTTTTTCAAAGTCAAGCGATTTGACATCCTATCATATCTTCGCGAAGGAAAGGGAAAATGTGCGCCTTTGTCTTGTTGTGATTTGTTGGCAAGAGGTGTTGCCCCGTGACGCACTCAATTGGCGATCAGGCCATGTTGCATTTGACTTGGGTTCTAAGTGCTTATACTTTTGTCTTTGGAGGAGGTGAATGTCGAACAAGTCATTCATTTTACCTATTTGACAAAAATGGATGGACGAGTCAGTTGTTGCACGAGAAATTCCTATTGGAACGATTACAACCTTACCATCTCACAGTATCATCTTGCGGTCCCAACTGAGAAAGTGACCAAGCAAAGAAATATAAAACTTTAAGCAAGTCCCTTTTTTTTTTAAAAAAAATTTTCGAAACATTTTGAAAGTAAGGCATAAAAGCCTAACCTGGGGGCTCGGTTTGAAGTACTACTAGTACTTTCAAAGAACAATGATATGAACTAAAACCTCATTACTCGAGGATGATAGTCACAAACACATCGATTAGGTTCACAATTAAACCCAAATCAGAAAACACGATTCCCAATGAGAATACTGACAAGGACAAGGTACCAAAAAAAAAAAATCTTGCATAGAGGAATGCAATAAATAATTCTCGTCCTAGCTTTAAAGTCCACTTCTTGGCATGGTCAAACGAGAAGATTCTAAAGAAGGGCCGTTGTGTATAATCTGCAAAAGGAAAACAATGTCAGTACATGAATGAAAAAAGTGATCTCTCAATGAAGCCGTCTCTTATAACGAAAGCAAGGCGACGATACCTGCCCCATGGTCTCCATTTGCGGGGATTTGATATTTCGTCAAGATTTCGTAGTAAGAGTAGACATCATTAAAAGATCAAATCGCGACTATCAATCGAACGCCCATTCTATTCCAAAAGTTTCATTGCAAAATGTGGCATCAATTTTGAAAAACTGATTTGCGATTTTATTTTTGCAAAAATGAGGTGATCAATACACAAAAAGCGATTTGAATTTTGATTCTGAAATGTGAACAAGAAAGAATTTTGTTGAAACTGTGATTTCAATTTTATGCCCCAAAATATAATCTTGACTTGGAAGAATTTCTATACAAAATGTGATTTTGGGCTCATTATTGAAAATTTGGACAAGATCATTTGTTTTGTAGGGCCAAATCAGAGATGTTTGAGATTGATGCTCAAGGCTCACTATCAAGAGTGATTGCCCAAAATTTCCAATTGTAAGCTTAGATCACATAGGGCATTTGATTGATTTTCGCGAATTTCCAAAATGAAAATTTCAATTCAAAGTGTCCTAATAATGAGAGAAATCATACTTACAGTGGGTGACAATCGTTATTTCAAGTCATAAAGACACGCAGATGCACTTGTGAGGTTCACTAAAGGGTGGGATTCTAAAGGCTAAAGGTCCCCATCCCAAATAGATCAAAAGAGTTTTCCCCACTCCGCGCTTGCGTCGGACAGTCCTCTTTATCACTATTCGATTATGAGCGAGACCAAAAGGGGATAGCCATGGGTCCTTCCCCGCACGGTTTCCACACTTTTGGCACCTCCTATGGGTTTCTTAAAGCGATCGGGGTTTTAGATCGCAGGTTGTGTGTGCAAAGTGTAGTGCTAAAGCAGGTAACAACATGCACAAGAGTTGATATCAAAACAGCACTTCTATTTTCATTCGCATACACATACACCCTTAAACCAACCTGCAAAACAAACACGTCAACAATCACTCCACCCCTTATAACTCCAAACCTACAAAACCATTTAACACAACGTTAGCGGACTTACCTTAGCCTTCACGATGCGTTGCCATAAGACTACGTTAGTTAACAAACAATCAAGTTATATTAGGCCTAAGTCCTCAAGTCCCCAGCGGAGTCGCCAAGCTGTCACGACCTACCCGTCCTGATCGGTAGGGGTGAGCACGGTTCCAGGGTAGAACCGGGAACCGGGAACCGGAACCGGAACCGGAACCGACGCTCTTCCCAGTAAAAAATAAAAACCCTAACTTTTCTTCACAAATTTCTCTCTCGGTTGCTCCTCCGTTGCGCCCTCTCTCCCACTCCCCACACCCACGACTCGACGAGACCCTCTCGCCTCTCCTCGCTCCGTTCGGCGTCCGCCTCGGCTCTTCCTTTGTCTTCATCAACCACGGTCCGGCTCATCCACGGCGGATTTCCGAGTCTAGGTTCTTTTGGTGACCAATCGAGCAGCTTGTGGCTGGAGGCGCAAGAAGGGAGCGAGCAAGGAAAGAGTAAGCGTCAGTTGACGCCCGCGCTCCCTCTGCCCACTCCTCCCCTCGCCAAGGCATGGGCTCGAACCCCTCGACTTCGATCATCGATGCGACCTCGAAATTTGACGTCTTTTCTTTGGGTGGTGTGGTTTCAGTTTCAGATCGGGCTATGCCAACTTTCGGTGACGGCGGATAAAGAGAGGAACATTGCCCATGCTCGCGACGCGATTCGGGAAATTTTTTTTTCTTTCCGAAAATGGGCATCAAGGTAGTTCCACCTCCCTCTTCTTCATTGTTGATTGAGTCGTCCGTTGATTTCGATAGGGGCCGACGAAGCTATCAGGACAATGCCCCTAAGGCGATGAGGAGCAAAAGCCGGAGAGCTACTTGGCCGGAGGATCGCCGTCGATGCCAGCCTGAGCATCTATCAGTTCCTCGTTAAGTGCTTTGCTTTTTATGAGTTGATGTTCCTGATTGATTGTGTGTTTCGGTGTTGGCGGGGATTTGGATTTTGAGTGTTGGGGGTTTTTTTTGGTCTTTGATTGGGGGATCAGGTTGTGGTTGGGAGGAAGAGGACTCAGATGCTCACCAATGAGGCTGGTCAAGTCACCAGGTACCACTAATGGCATCGGAATACTCCATGGAAATGATAATCCACTTTGCTCGAGTTTCTGTTTTGATGCTTCAGTTGTTATTGCTTGGACTGGGGTTTATGTATATGAGATCGACGTGTGTCACATTATTTTGTACTTGCCATGTGATATTTGTTCTTGGGAAGTGTTGACTTTGAGCTGCTTTTTGATTTGTCGTCTCATGTAGTCATCTGCAAGGCATGCATTACCGAACGATTAGGCTGTTGGAAGCAGGGATACAGCCAGTGTAAGCTTTTTTCTTTACCTCCTATGTTTTCATTGGGATAGAATGCTAAGAAGAATGAAGTTTGTGCTTCTCTGAATTATACTTTATGTTGTTATGATAGCTACGTATTTGATGGTAAACCTCCTGATTTGAAGAAGCAAGAGCTCGCACAATGGTACTTTATTATTATGTAGCCTTCTCTTCTCTCGTTTTTTTTTTAATTGTCTATGAATACGTTTAGTTACCTTAAATGTGAAGGTTTGTCTTTGTTTTGATCACTTCCTTACTGTGCGATATTTTAGTTCTATTCGATGAGAAGTTTGATGTTGTCTCTGTTTTCCAGAAAAACCTATCTATGTAGCTAACCAGATATGTGTGCGCATGTGGTACATGGCTTTGATACCATTGCAGGTGACACAACAGCACAATGAAGACTGCAAAAAACTATTGAGACTTATGGGTATCCCAGTAGTTGAGGTTACTATTCTGTCTGAGAAGTTCATTCTTCTTTATTCGTAACAAAAATGTTAGATACCGATTCGGTTTATGTATGTCGGGCCCTTCTTGAAGGAGGCACAATGTGCTGCTCTTTGAAAAGCTGGAAAGGCATGTATCTTCCTGGTTGATCATCTTCTGATTTAGAATAATTCATTGTTATCTCATGATAATCCAATCATCTAACTCTATGGAAATGACATTTTTTTTTTGCATGATTTCGTGTAGCTGCGGAAAGTTTGGATGTGCCTCCTGATTGCAAAATGGGAAATTTATGGCTTACAAGAACTTTGTATACCTTATCAAATGCCCTTTTGTGAAGGCGTGCACTAGAAGAAAGAATGGATAAAAGCATCTTGAGTAGGCACGTGTTCGTTTCATCAGTTTTGGGTGACTTTCTGTGGCTAAGTTCTTATTGATGCTTATGTAATTGCTATGTTTTTATCTTCGCAAGCTTTGGCTTCCAGAAAATCAGCCATATTTGCAACTGCGCCGTTCTATAAAAGGAGGGAAAAATCACGTAGCTTGCCTCATGGTTTTGTTGACTCTGTGCCAGGAAATATGGAACAGTCCCTATTCAAATGATAGCTTCCCTATTTATGCTGAGGACATTGATGGAGGTTCATCTCCTTCAACTGCTATGTTATTTGAAGCTGCTAAGGCCTTGAAGGTTACCATAGTGGGCAGTTCAATCCCAGAAAGATGTGGTGATCGATTGTACAACGCTTTGTGTTTTTGGTTCCATTGGAGTGCTGAAAGCCAAGCACCACAAGGTAACTTTTCTTTCCTTAAGTAACTATGTATGGAACATTTAGTTGCCTGAGTCTTCTAGTCTATTTGTTGTTTGAGTTGTTTTCTTTTCTTTTCTTTTCTTTTTGGCTCTATGCAGACGTTGGACGTATTGGTATAGGCATCTGTTATGATATTCGGTTTCAGGAATTGGCAATGATTTATGCTGCAAGAGGTAGGTTTTGTTTCCTCTTCGTCTATTTTGCATTTCCTACAATGTTGATCGATATCTGTCTTGGGGCTGCCACGGCCCGATCTATGCGGTTTGAAAGTAAGAAGATTTCGACGGTAAACATGTATGTCTTAAGTGGTGGACCTTTGGATTGTTTTCCTTTGATTTATTTTCGTTTTATCCCTTCCAATGATTTTTAAGTTGAACATCAGCAAAGTAAGCCTTGCACAAAGGGGGCTTAGCTGTATAAATGCTTTTACAACATTGCGATATGTCCTCTATTGCTTTTTGTATAGAAGATATCTCTTTGCAATATTGATTCCAAATTAGCTAGTTTTTGCCTCCTCCACTATTATATTGTTTTAAGTTTCTTTCCTAGATTAATGAGGTTTGCTATTGGTGTTGCTAATTGGCCTTTTATTGACAATATCATTCTACTAATTATATTTGCACTGATCCATTGATAATAAAGTTATATGATGCTGAACTCTTGATGTTTTCTATTCTGCATAAATGGATCTAGGTTGTTAGATAATATCCCCTTTCTACTAAGCGAAATATTGTTTTTTAATACCTAGTCATTGTTGCGTTTATTTTCGTTTTGTTTAATTAAAAAAGAAATTAAAAAAAAGAACCTTTTGGAACCTGGAACCGACCCTGGAACCTGTGACAGGGTAGGTTCTAGGTTCCACGTTCTGACGGGTAGGTTCCAGGTTCCAAAAAATGAGGAACCTGTACCCGAGGGTAGGTTCCAGGTTCCAAGCGGAACCGAACCGGAACCTGGAACCGCTCACCCCTACTGATCGGGTTTAGGCCAAGAGGTATTTGTCGATGGATATGAACAACGATTGGTTCGTTTGAATGGTGAACCAAATGGTTCATTAATCCAATGACCGAGGCACTCCCAAGCCTCATACCTCGCGCGACGAGAATTTTTTAATTTACACATTTGATTGGAGTTGCCACTAGCCATGATCAAGGATCAGCTAGAAACCCTGATCGAGACGCGGGAGTGTCGTCTCGATATGCGCGAAAATCAGAGATTCTAAAGTTCGGAGACTTGATTACACTATCGATCTAACTAGTACCTTTTCGGTATCTAAACTTGAATGTTCGCAAACTAACGTATCGGGCAGCTTATCGAAAAAAAAAAAGCTAAGATTCCACCTAACCGATCTAAAAGTAGAAAATAACAATCAATGTATTAAAAGTGCGCAACCAGATAATCATGAAGAGAATAAACAACCAACGACCTAGCATCGTCTCTAAAAAAGAAAATGCAATCAAAAGCCCTAAGGTAAAGCCCTAGTGGCTTATCCGATTTTTGAGAATTTTTTAGAGGGTTTTTCTCATTTTTCATTTTTTTTGGATTTTTTAACCTAAAATCTAGTGAAATTCAGCCCAAAACTGATTTCCAAACATTTCCTAATTTTCTGATTTTTTGGAATTTTTCTGAATTTTTTAATATGTTTTGAATTTTCTAAATTTTTTAATATTTTTTTAATATTTTTTATTTAATTAATTTTTTTGGGACTTTTAAATATTTTCGAATATTTTTTGGAATTTTTAAAATTTTAAAATTTTTAATTTTTTTTTTTTGAATTTTGAAATTTTTTATTAATAAAATAAAGATTTCGGACCGGGTCCCCTGACCCGATCCGCCCGACTACCCGACCGGGTTTCCGACCCGACCCGGGGACCCCATTTTCATTTCTTTTCAATATTTTTGTATCCTTCTTCCTTTTCCCTTTTTTTGTTTCTCTTTTCTTTTTTCCTTTTTCTTTTCTGGTATTCCTCTTCGTGTCTTCTGCCCAGAAGTCCCACTGAGAATGTCCTCTTCTCGGTGGTTCATCGGCAACTACCACACCGAACCAAAACCGGCCTCCTCGATGGGCGCCGACGTCGAATTTGCTCCGACCAGAATCACGACACCACCATCACCGAACCACCCTCCTTAATCCACAACCACCAGCCACCAAAACGGCAACTTTTTTTTTTTTTTGATAATTGAGGTGTCCGCGCGGCCGGCGAGTTAGGGCTCAAACCAGCGGTGATGCCCGACTAGTCCTCGAGGGGGGCTAGCGCAGCATCCCACCGCCACGACCCCCCACTTAAATCACCGATGGGCGAGTTTTGAATCCAGGACCTCTCGTGAAAGGAACTGAGCGCAAACCAACGCGGCCACCAATGGGTGGGTACCAAAACGCCAACTTTGATGACCGTTTTTTTCACTTTTCGATCACCAGATTTCCCACGGCAACAGTACGTGCTAAAACGCTAACAAACAGACATACACGCATATGAAACGGGGATAGTGAACCAACGGTAGCGGCATCAGACCACGGGCGACGCCGGCATGGGGGGGAATAGATCTCTGGCGAAGGTCTCATCCATGGCCGACTCAAACGACGAGAGATATGCCACGAAACCGAAAGAAGTCACAACAACAAAAAAACACAAAGTCAGACAACATTCGACAAATATGAGAACTAATCAAGCATAAAAATCGAGTTCAAGTCGCTGGTTCCACAGAAAATCATTCGGACCCCCATTTTGGCATTTTGTCGAACATGTGATGTGCGAGTTCATAAAAATGTTCTGGAGTGAGATTTGATGCAGTGTTTAACTCAAATGTGAAGTGAGAAGATCCATACGGCCATATTTTGCCACAATAAGGTCTCGGTTTGCATAACAATGACCCAAAAATGCAAGATCAGACTCGGGGTCCTAAACTCAAAGAGGTTCATTAGGACATTTCAACGAACGGGTGGGATGTACCTAAAACTAATGGCTACTAAGTCGATCTTGGTGGGATTTGAAAGCTCTTTCTTGATAAAGACTGTTCAAAAACACTCATAGGAGATTAAGAAAAGTTGTCCTCATTTTGTGGTGCCGGGCGACCACCGAATAGGTTCGATGTGCCCGACACCCGAGAGGCAGGGGAGTAAAAAGCGAAACAGAGGATCAGAAACGAAACCCACTTGGTTCGTGTCTATCCGAGACTAAGCGCGGTGGCTGGGGGTTCGGTGGCGTCTCGGGTGGTCCTCCGACGAGTGGGTAAGACCCGAGACTCAACGATATCGCTTGGCTCTCTCTCGGCCTCCTCTTTTTTCTCTCTAACTCTCTCTGTTTTTCCTTGTATTCAACCCCTCGCGCGAAGCTCCGACGACTGGATATGAAGAGCTGGTTGACTCGGGCTCTCGATGCACGGCGGAGAGGGGGAGGGGATTCACCAGACCACCTCCTTTTTTATGGAGCGGCCAAAACACTCCCCTCTCTAAAGACCCCTCAATCCTCCTTCTCTTCTTCAAACTTTCTTTCATCGTTCTCTCCCGGACCTGCCTCCGACGCTTTGCTCTCTCCTTTTTCTCTCTCGGATCCCTCGGTTCTCTCTCTCGCTCCGTGGAACCCCCCATTCTTCATCACCATATATGGTCTTAAAGGAGCTGGCCGGCACGCCCGCGTGGCCCCTGCTGCCGGCAAGCGTGCATGGCCTCTGCCACCGCCAGGCTGCCGCGGCCGGCCGATCTCGTGACCCGCGGATCGTGCTGCCATCCCCGTGCCTCTGGCTCCTGTTCTGTTCGTCCTCTGGCTTCTGTTCCGTTTCTGTTCTTCCTCCCCGTACGTTCTGAAGCGTTGATTGGGGAGGGGGGAGCTGAACAGTGCGCAGGCCGGGCTGTGGGAAATGGGCCGGCCTGTGCGGAAATAGAAAAGGCAACATGGGCCGCGCGCAAGAAAAAGAAGGGGGAAAAAGGATGGGCCGACGAACCTGGCCCAGAAATCTCCTTCCTTCTTTTTTTTTTTTAAATAATTTTGTGTCCTAATAGGCCCTATTAATGCAAATGCACCTATTGTCTACATGCCATGCAATTTAAAGAAAATATTTTTGGTTTAGGGGTTAGAAAATTAAACCCTAATTTTATGCGATAAAACCCTAAATGGACTAGACAAAATTTAGGTGTCAACAAGCATTCATTTAGCTAAAGGACTATAACAAGAAACCCAAATTTCAAGCTTCTACGCAGTTGGCGCAGAAATCGCTCCACTGACGACTCTTGTGGGTG